CCCCTCCCGCCGTGTCTGCGCCACTCACACCGGGACACACATAAAGGGACGGGAGCGCCAGCAGTACAATTGCGTCCACGAGCGCTGCTGCTGCCTCGTTGTTCCCTCTTTGTTTGGGGCTTTGTGGGTTTGGACTCCAGCGGAGCGTGTGTGCCTCTTCCGCCGTCCGGTTCTCTTTTCTCTAATTGTTTTGGATTACGGATGATACCTTCGGTGTTGTGTGACTTTGGTTCCAATTTTGTCTGATTGGTATGTGAGCTGTGTGTCACGGGACATTGTTTCTTTTTTCTTTTGGCTTCAAGCTTCAACCGATCAGGCGTCCGTAAGAGGAAGAGTGATCGTAATGCGTTGTGTGTGTGTCTTTGTCTTCGTGCTCTGTGGCGCTGCTCTTCAGGTGTCGGCTGCTGCTGCTGCTCCACAAGCAGCGGACACAAGCAGTGCGGCGACGGAGGCCAAGGAGGCGGTGAGCTTGGTGGTGGTGAAGGTGAAGGAGGCCGTGAAGGCGGTTAAAACAGCGCGGGATGCGGCATCGAAGGTCAAGACGGTGGCGGAGAAAGCGAAGAAGTCGGTCGGTGAGGCAGAAGCGCCTGTGAAGAGCATCGAAGTCAAGTTGAAGGCGGTGAAGACAGCGGTGGACACCCCCAAGAACGAAAACGCGAACACCGCTCCAGAGGGTCTGGCCCGTGAAATTGATGGTGTTGAAAAGGTTGCCCTGGACGCGATGCGAAATTCTTTTGCAGTGAAGAAAAATATAGTCAATGTGGAGTCGGTCGGTAAGGCACTGGAGGACGCTAAGGCGGCACTGACGACTGTGAAAGATACTGCAGGCAAGGCCGCTGCTGTTGTTGCAGGTAAGCCGACGGAGGCCACGAAGTCACTTGCGGAGGTAGTAAAAGAGTTGGAGGCTGCAAAGACGACTATTGAGAGCGCCGAGGGGAGCGTCAGGACGGCGTCGCTAAAAGCCACGCTGGGGAAAGACAAAGCGACCGCTGCAGGATGGAGTGTGCGTGACGTGCTGTATCAAGTAAGGATCATTGGCCTATACAGACGGAAGACAGAGCCATCCTCCAAAGTAATTGATTATAACGAAAGCGAGGCGAAAACGATGAGCGTTGGTGCTGTGAAAAGCGCAGGGGAGGCCGTTGCCAACATTGCTCTTGCACGCAGCAACGCCATGGAGGCAGAGGGGTTGGCTGATGCTGCGTTGAGTGATATCGAGAAGACCGCGGCAAGTGTCGATTTGGCGCTGAAGTCCGCCGAGGCCGCGGTGCTGGCACTCGAGGAGGCAACGCGGTCCATGAAGACGGACGCCGCAACGGGTGCGAACGCCGACAGTGGGTCCCAGCTGCCCGATACCGACGTGAAGGCTGAGCAACTCACCACAGAAGAGAAATCCGAGGAGCTCCCCGCCGAAGGGAAATCACAGCAACCCATCAACGACGTAAATCCCCTCCCGCGCAAGAGCGAGGGAGAATCAAAGCAGCCCAATGCCGAGGGAACAGAGCTGCAGTCTAATGCCCACGAGAAATTACCAAAGAGTGCCACCGCTGGGGAAGCGCCTCTCTCTCGCGTTGTGGACGGCAGCGACAGCCCTTCATGGGTTCGTGTTCCGTTCATGATGCTTCTGCTGGGGGCGATGGCATCTCTTGCAGTGTGCTGAGCAGGATCTGCACAGGACGGTGGTGTTCCCCACTTAACTGTGTGTTCTCTGAAGGGTGGGGCATACCTGTGTAATATAATTGTTTTGTGTTTCGTTTCGTTGCTGCCCCGTTGTGGGCGTGGCGCCGCTCCATTAACCCTCGACGGTACATTCACTGTGCTCGATACCGTCGTTGGGAAGCGTCATTAACCCCTTATTTCCATTGCGTGGGCATTGCTTAGCACATGACTGTGCGTCGTCCACTAATTCGTTTCTTCTTTAAATGACTTGCTTATATGCTTTGCACCCATTATTGGGCTCCGTCCCCCTTGCTGTGTGTGGGCATCTCACACGAGGCGCATGGAGACAGTCAGACTTGCTTGCGTCCATGAATACACACATGCACACGGAGGGAGTCACCACGACTGCGTTGTGGCTGCTCTCTTTTTTTTTCGTTAAACATGGGATTGTTGGGGTTTTGTTTCCTGCGGGGTCTGTGCTTCTCCCGGCAACCAATTTCTTCCATAATTTGTTGTTTATTATTTATGTGGATCATTTTCTTGGGGGCGCAGACTGAACTGTTTCTTCTCCCTCCTCCATTCCATGCGTGTTCTCTTTTGTGTTTCTCTTTTCTCCTCCCTGCAGACCCCAGCTGCTCAAGCGATATTGAATGATGGCGACAGTGTGCCGCGTTGTGTTCTTGTTGGCCGCTGCTCTGTGCTGCACTGCCTTGGGCGTGGCTGCTGCTGCTGATACTTCCGCTGCGCTTCTCAAAGTTGGTGCGTCTGATGTGTCGGCGAAGCAGACAGTCGTCACAGCAAAGACGGAGGCCGTGGATGCAGCAAGGAAAGCAGAGGCAGTAGCAGTTTCTTTTAAAGCTGCACTGAGTGAAGCGGTGAAAGCGCAGGAGGCGGCCAAGAAGGCATCAGAGGACGCAAGGGCTAGTCTGAAGGAAGGCGCCAAGAAGGCAGCGGGTCTTGGCTACCAGGCTTCGAAAAAAACGTTGGCTGCTGTAACGTTGCTGAAGGATTTTGTATCTGCGGGCTGTACTGTGGAATCCTCAAAGTTGTCGACAGAGGGGAAGAACAAAGCTGAAAAGGCGTCTAAACTCACTGAAGGGGCCGTACTGAATGCTACCAAGGCGGTATCGTACGCTAATGAAGTAGTGTCGAACGCTACAAAAGCAGCGACAGACGCCTCGGTTCTGGTAAAACAGGTGGAGGCGGAGGAGCAGAAAGTGAAGACAGCCATGGAGAAAGCTAAGCAAGCGGCGGCGAGTATACCACAAGGAGCGGAGACTGTTGTAGCTGCGGTTGAGGGTGCCAATAAAGAAGTGATGGTGGCAAGTTCCGCAGTGAAGAAATACATCAAGGATCTAGAGGATGCAAAGAATGCGATGAATGCTCTTCTTACTGCAACAAAAGCTGTACTTGGTGCAGCAACGAAAGTGGATGAGTTGGCTAAGAAAGCCAACCCGAGTTCGACTACAGTTGAAGGTGAATGCAATGACCTGAAAAAAATGACGCTTGATGGGCTTGAGGCTCTCCTAAAAGGACTGCAAAGAACCAACGAGGCAACAGTGCCCTCTAAGACTAAACTTGAAGAACTTGCTGGCCTCCTGCAGACTGCAATATCAACTACAGAAAATGTTGTAGAGCTGGCTAAAACTGAGAAAGCAGCAGCTGAAGCGGCGTTGCTGCAAGCCAGGGAGGAGCTGGAAGCTGCTAAGAAAAAGCAGAAGGGTATGGAGAAGCAAAAGCAGCAGAGTGAGAAGCAGGGATATGCGAAGCAAAATCAGGAGAAACCAACAGAGGAGATTCTGGAAAGCGGAGTGAGTGAAAGGGACGAACAGGAAGGACTCAACCTTCCCCAGCAACCCGACACTACTGATGGCACTTCGTCTTCTTCTCCTTCTCCTGGTGTGCCGCTTCCTAAGACCGATGACATTGCGGATGGCGAGAAGCTTCTTGCTCAGCACACAGATGGCAGCGACGTCCCCGCGTGGGTGCGTGCGCCGCTGTTGCTGCTGCTGCTTCTTCTGGCCTTTGTGGTCGTGAGGTGAGACTTGTCTCTGTGTGTTCGTGGGACGATGATGCTCCC